TCCAGTCGCCGGAGACGCCGTCGTTTCGACGCCGGTGCTCCGTCTTAACCCTCCAAGTTTGTTTTTTTTTTTCCGTCGGAGGAAGAAATAAGAAAATGAAACGGAAAGGAGTCGGGGTTTCTCTCCCCGTCACGGTGGTGATGTTAGTGATCGGTTTCATCTATTTCTCCACAGTTTTCACTTTCATCGATCGGTGGTTTAGCCTCACTTCTTCTCCCGGAATCGCGAACGCCGCCGCGTTCACCGCCTTGGCTCTGATGTGTGTTTACAACTACTCAATCGCGATTTTCAGGGATCCGGGTCGGGTCCCACTCAATTACATGCCGGATGTTGAAGATCCGGAGAGTCCTGTTCATGAGATTAAGCGAAAGGTGACATCTTTCTCTCCATTTTTATAAAAAACTGTTTTCTGGGTTCTTCAATTCTTGGTGCTGAATTGTCAATTTCAAGATTTCTGATAGATTTTAGATATGGTGATCAGTTGAGCTCATTTCAATGTCAGAGAGATTTGATATTATCTCTGCTTTAAGGGATTTTTGTCTTTATCATTTTGGTCAAATAGGCTTTCCGATTATAGAAAAGTAGTATAGGAGTCATTTTCTGTATATGTCAACTCAATGTTTCGGATGTATGGATTCACTAGAATGGTGATTCTTGTAGATTGTTGACTCACTTTGTGAGATATTTTGTTGGCTTGCAAGAGAACTTTCAAGTTATCAGATTTGTTCCCTTCTAATATTCAGTGAAGACCTTTAAGGTTGACACTTTAATCCATCTTTTGGCTATTTATGGATTCACTAGAGTTGTGATGTATGTTCCCTTAACGTTAGGCATGTGTAAAACAATTTAATCTTCAAGCCTCAAGTTACCTTAGTAGTTGAGGCTTTGAGATTCCATGTGAGTGAGCTCATGTTTTGAGGCTTTTGGAGTCTCTTGTAACTATGATACTTTCTGGGAAAACTCATTTATGAATTTTTGTTTCACTACTTACTTTGGCAGGGAGGAGATTTGAGGTATTGCCAAAAGTGTTCACATTTCAAACCTCCGCGAGCTCACCATTGTCGAATTTGCAAAAGATGTGTGCTTAGAATGGTATGCTCTAATGAACACTTATGTTTCATGCCAAACAGAACATCAAAATCGCTCAAACCCATGCGATATATTATGTTAAACCAGTTGTATTTGATTTGAAGGACCATCATTGTATTTGGATCAACAACTGTGTTGGACACACTAACTACAAGGTCTTCTTCGTATTTGTTGTCTATGCGGTGACTGCGTGTGTATACTCCCTGGTACATTTTCCTAACTTATGTTAGTTCAATGTATATCTCTCTGTGCCGCTTATATTTATCAGCTTTATATTTATCCTTTGGATTTTTTAAGGTTTTGCTTGTCGGAAGTCTTACTGTTGAACTTCAAGATGAAGACGAAGAGATGGGAAGCTATCTAAGAACTATATATGTAATGATGGCGAATGATGAGTTGTTTTGAAAACTACTATAACATCATTTTGCTAATGCTTATGTTTTTTTCTCAGGTACTTTCAGCTTTTCTTCTTATCCCATTGAGCATCGCGTTAGGTGTTCTTCTCGGGTGGCACATCTACCTCATTTTACAGAACAAAACGACCATCGAGGTTGTTCTTTTTTCATTTCTTCAATTGCTAGATTAGATTTTCCCTACCCCTCTAGTCGTTTTTTTCCTCTGCTAATCAATGTTATGGGAATTAAGCAGTACCATGAAGGAGTGAGAGCTATGTGGTTAGCAGAGAAAGGTGGGCAACTCTATAAGCATCCATATGACATCGGCGCATTTGAAAACCTAACCTTGGTAATAATTCTTATCTTCTTTAGAGATAGTCAGTATCACTCAGATGTTTTTTCTTTGTTAAGTTTTGAGTGTATGTTCTTCAGATTTTGGGTCCAAACATACTTTCTTGGCTCTGCCCTACATCGAGGCATATTGGTTCTGGTGTGCGTTTCCGTACAGCTTTTGATTCAGTCCCTGTTTCATCTGAAACAAAACCTTAGCCATGACCCAATTCATACATTCCCAATTTTTGGCGAGTTCCATCGAAAAGGCAGCAGATTTTCAACTTCACAGCACTCTGGCTCGTCCTTTTCAGGCGTTTTAGCCGGTTCAGCTCTAAACCAAGACTAGCCCCCGTAGTCAGTAGTAGACTCTGCTTGACAAGGTTTTTGTTTGTGAAAATTATGGTGTCAGTTAGGTAAGTTTTTGTTTGTTGTAATTTCTCCAGTTTCTCTTTTGGATTCCTCAAGAAGGAAAAGGAAGTTAGGTTTGTGGGTACAGAAATGAAAAGCTGATTATGCTTATACATACCAATTAACAGGTGAAAAGACATGATTGTAAGATAATTCAAGGCTTTCATAATTTCTTATCAGAATCAGACAATTCTCAAATGTATTTATATGCAGAAGTATAGCTTGTAATCAGCTTTTTCCATGAGAAAACAAGACAGTTTTGTGAACATCAGAGAGGAAGATCAAGCCCTTTTCCAACATCAACACCAATGACCTGAAGTATTCCTTTGTTCAGAATCTGAAAGAAAGAAAAAAAAACAAAACATCTCTGTGTTAAGTTAAATCTTTATCTACATACATAACTTCCATAACCATTGGAAAGTCGCTCACCAGCTCAACAATGAAGGTTCCGATGAGACCAATCATACAAGCTCTAGAGTTCCATATCTCAGCTGTATATGTGAATCCCAGAAACGCTGGTTCGAATTTGGGTTCCACTTTCGGCACTATCATCTTCCCAACAAAAAAAGTGTAACCAGAAAAGAAAATCCGTAAGATAAGAAAAATTGAAACTTCGAGATTTGATCTTGCCAAGAGTGTTCTAAGAGACTATTTTACTTTACCCCTTCAGGTAGTTTTGCGGCGCGAACACGGAGAGACGAATGTTTCCGACAGAACCAGAGAGTTCTTTGGCTCGGACAATGCCCATGAGCCGATAACTTCGGAGGAGGAAGAGGTAAGAAGGAGGAAGATAATTGCGTTGAGCTAAGAAGCGAGCTCACCATTTTTCTTTTTTTCTTTGACGAGGAGAAAGATGAAGTTTGGATTTTATCAATTTGTGGATGTGCTCTGTATTCAGATGCATTTCCTTTGTTCCTTTCAAATTTCGCCACGTGGCATATTTCGGTAGAAGTAAGAACACGAATACATATAAAACGTCGCCGTTTTACTCCGTACAAAAAGCCC